TCTGTTTCCATAGATGTATCTATTTCCTATATATATTATAAGTATGTATATAAGTAAAGTTATATATTTATCATAAACAAAGTCTTATGTGACCTTTTGTATCTGGCTTTTTTTTTTTAATTTAGCACCATATTGTATTCACCACACTGCAGCATGTGTTTTATTCCTTTTTATAGCTGAATGATATTCCCTTGTGGAATTTACCACATTTTGTGGATCCATTTATCCTTTATGGRCATTTAGAATGTGTCCACATTTTGGCTATTTTACATAATATTGCTATGAATGTCCAATACAGGTAACTGAGTACCTGTTTCCTATTCTTTTGGGTGTATACTTTGGAGTAGAATTGGGTCTTATGGTAATTTTATGTTTAACTTTCTAGGGAAACGACTACCCCCTTTTGGCTAATTTTTTTCTTTCTTCTCCCTTTGTTTCTCAAAATGGGGGCTCCATTATGTTGCTCAGGCTGGCCTAATTCCTGGTCTCAAGTGGTCCTCCCACCTCAGCCTCTTGGGTAGAGGGTCTACAGACACACACCACTATGACCAGTGTGATTCTCTTTTTAATCATATTCCTATTGGAGTTTCAGTCTTCCTAGAAGGCTTTGATGAGAAAGATAAGGTTGTCTTTTGACTATTCTTACCTAGGAGCCTTTGTGGTTTTTCTTAGAATGAGTTTTGGGTCTCCTTAAGAACTTTTCTAACAATTTCACAACTTTATTAGATGTAAAATATAACATGGCAAACTGCAGTTGTGTGTAAAGAAGTGGTTTGAGTGGTTTAGAGTTGCTTATAGGAGAGGTTCCTCATTGTGCAGAGTTGCTGGACTATGTGACCTTCAATGATCTTCCCACCCTGAGAGTCACTGGTCCCATCAGTGGGTGGCATTTCCAGTGGCGGGGCTCTGAGCTYGGCTTTTGAGCAAGGCTAGCAGGATGGACCTGTATCATTGTCACACCCTTCCTGAGGTAGATGTCCATATTTATAGCCCTTTGGGTTGTGGTAGGCCAGGGGAGTTATGTGCTAATAAATTCAGGCCCTTTCCCCAGATTGTATTGGATAGTATCTTTCTTGATTATTGGAGTCAGAATGACAGGGTGTTTGGGGGTCAGAATTTTAGCTGCTTTAACAAGGTTCAGACTACCCTTAGGTTAAAAGCTCTGCACTATTCTGGTCTTCCAAGTACAATAGAGTTTCTTCCAGGATTTGCCTTTTTGTGTGTGCATATTCACTAATGTCTGTCTACTACCAAAATGCAAACCCTGAAGGCCCATGTGGACAAGGTTCATTTTCTGCCCTCTCCACAGAACATCCAAGGACGGCTTGGCTGGGTTACCCCTTCCCTGTGTGTTCCCCAGGCCTGGGTTTTATTCTTCTACTTTACCTTGCTTGCTTCCTGGCAGGTTGGTGTTGGTCTGATCCCATTGCCCTCTGGTTTCTAATTGGGTTTGGACAGGTTCATGCTAGGCTGCCTCTTCTCTCCCTTCATAGCTCCAGATCCCTCCACATACGTGTCTTACTAATTGATTTCTGCTGTTTTAAGCCTGGTRCTTTAGGCTTTCTTTGTCTTGAACACACTCCTGTAACTAGTTTCTGCTTTTAAACACATAAGGGGGGAATGTGCCTTCTTTTTCCTTCTAAGTTTCTGCTAAGGTTACAAAAATAGGCTGTAGTTTTGAATATGAGCAGGCAGATGGAAGATGAAGGATGGTTTGTGGGTCACCCCTCTATACGAATCCCATATTGGCTTCCTATTCCACTGGAAGCCCTGCCTATCTCATGTCTCTGGCTTCCCATACTTAACCCTTCTCAATGTGTCCAAGCACACAGACTTCCTTGATGTTTCTAGAGATACCAAGCAAGCTCCTGCCCCAGGGCCTTTGCTCTAGCCGTTTTCTCTGTCTGGAAGTCTCCTCTGTCAGGTATGTATTTCGTCAATTACTCTCCTTTCTCTAGGTCTTTGCTAAAATGTCACCTTTTTGGGCTTGCCTGAGCCTCTCTACTTGGTACTGCAAATAGGTGGGTACTTGTGCCCACCAATATTGCCTCAGCAGTCAGGGGCCCCTTTCTACCTCCTTCTACATTATCTTTTCCCAGAACACCTACCACTTTTTAAGAAACTACATTGAACTTATTAATTATGCTTAATATTTATCTTCTGTCTTCTCCTGATAGAATTAAAGATCCTCAAAGGCAGGATTTTGGTTACATTTCTTCCACCAATGTATCCTCCACTTCTAGAACATTGTGGAGTTCATCAGTAAGTGTCTCTAAGAAGTTAAATAATCCCTCCCCCCMAAAAAAATGTCTACCTAGAATCTGTGAATGTGATCTTATTTGGAAAAAGAGTCTTTGCATATGTAAGGAAGGTGGGGAGCCCAGAACAAGGAGACCCTTCTGGATTAGGATGGATCCCAGATTCAATGATAAGTTCTTACAAGTGAAGAGAAGGGAAACTGACCCAGAGACCCAAGAGACAAGGGCATGAGAGACAGACTGAGACTGGATTATACAGCCCCAAGCCCAGGAGTGCCTGGAGCCACCAGAAGCTGGAAGAACCCAGCGAAGACTCTTCCCTCAGAGTCTTTGGTCCGGCCAACTCCTTGATTTCAGAATCTGGCTTCCAGGACTGTGAGAGGATACATTTCTGTTGTTTGAAGCCACCAGGTTTGTGGTAATTTGTGACAACAGTCCCAGAAAACTAAATCAGTGTCCAATAACCGCACCCTGAATGGGTAGATGTAAGTCTTGTTGACACTGATAGGACTTCCATTTGGCATAATTCTTCTGCTTTCAATAGTATCAGTGCCTGTGAATAAATGTGAACATGACTGAGGKGTAAGAGGCCTTCCAGTTTTGTGATTTGGTTTATTTGTGTTGTATAAAACCTAAGCACCCTGAATATTTTCACCAGCTGCAATTAAGAGCTTAAAGTCTTACTTAACCTCCACAAAGTTGCTTTCACTACAATCCTGTCAATAGCAAACAGAGAGGAAATTTACCAACACTTTGTTCTTCAGGCAGTAGATGGGACCCCTATTGGTCTCTAGCCATAAAATATCCCTGTGTCATTTACCCGTTCCCTTCCTGTGTCCCTCCTGCTGTATTTAAACCAATTCTCAGTTATTGTGTCTTTGGAGGAGACAGTCACAAGCACCCATGTGATCGCCCTTCATATGCTTGACAAGGGTCATTTAGTCTCCCCCAGGCCCACTCTTGGTGCGTGCTGGGCTCGTGATGCAGTATGCTACTAACTCTCGGTTCCTCGCAGGAGACGGAAGGTAAATCAAATTGAAAACACCCTTCCTGCGCCGTGCATCTTCCAAATGTCCTCAGGTCTCTCCTACATCTTCTGGAGGCTGCCAGATTCTCTGCGGGACAAGAGGAAGCTGGAGCCGCTCCTCCGTAGCGACAGAAGGTGCYATTAGCAGAAATACATCATCTCCCAGTGGTGTTAGCAATAGCGGAGTCCTGATCATGTCCATTCTTCTGCTGGAGTGAGGAGAGAGTCCTCAGAGGCAGGGGCTGCTGGTAACAGAGGCTCCATCATTCTAAAATATCCCCTCTGGAGTCCCAGAGCAGCCGTTTCTGCCCGGATGCAGCCAGAGCTTCAGAGAGCTTATTTCAGGCATTGATCTTCCATAGCAGCCYCCCTGCTTTTCAGATTCTGGGCCTTTTCCAGCAGGGGAAGGGAAGGATAGAGGCCAGGACCTGGCTAATGAGATACTTSGGCTGGGCTGGATCACCCCTTCCAGGTGTGGCTCATTCTACCTCTTGACAAAGGAAATGCATTCACTTAGAGTAGTGGTTCTCAAACTGCAGCTTGCAGGGCTCAGGGCTCACTCTAACAGGTTTCTGGGCCCGACTCCCAAGTGTCTGACTCCGTAGGACTGGGATGGTGGTCTGTGAAGTTGCATTTCTCCCAAGGTCCTAGGTGAAGCTGAGATGCAGCACTGATTAAAAGCATCTCAGATGCATATAGATGATGTTCTTACATCTTGTCCCTATTCATGGCCTCAGTCATTTGACTCATGGCAGTTTGGGGTTGGGTCCAGACCTGTCTTACTCTGTTTCTAGAATGCAATGAAGTTGCCTCTTGGTTCTACACAGCCCATCTGTGCTGGTTACCTCTGTCTCTGGGGAGGACCATGAATTCAGCCTTGCTCCATGACTCCAGTTCTGTCTCTATAAACACTCTTCCCCACCTTGACCCTTTAACAGTTTTCCCCTTTTGATAATATCTGGGCCCCTCAACAGGCCTGTTTGGTTTCTCCCACTCTACTCTTTAAATAGACCTTTCTTTAAATTTTCTTKGACCTATTTGTGTTGATTCCTGGCACTCTGTCCATGGATATTTCTCTCCTTAGATAAAAAGGGTCTTTTTAGAGGCTGAGCCCAATTCATTATGGATTTATCTTAAGAACAGTCTCATCCCCTATAATAGAAGGTAGAATTAACTTCAGAATCTAAAAGAATTGGAAAAGTATGAAATTTATGCCCAATGGAAAAATGGCCTCCATGTCCCTGTTCATTTTGAACCTGGGGAAGTACTACCTTTCAACTGTCTCACCACTAGAGCCTGGGAAGGAGGAGGGCCTGATTTCAGCCTGGGAAGGTATTCTTTGGTAATGGGTCTCTGATCCAATGGATCAGTCAACACATCTGCCATCAGTCACTGGGGCACTTACCCTGGCCCAACCCATGACCTGACTAGATGCAGCTGTCTCTGGTATTGGAATTGTAGAGGGATTTGATGTCTAATGATGCACATGTGTAATGTAAAATAATCAGCAATCTTCAAATCAGAAACCCAGAAAGACTTCTAGAAGACAAGAGACTAGGATAAACAGATCCATATTTCCTGTGTGTGTGTGTGTGTGTGTGTGTGTGTGTGTGTGTGTGTGATATGTCTGCATATAGATCTGCCCCTAAAACATAACTGGAGAAAAGAAGGGAAAGACAATTAGCCAAGTTTATACTCATATTTATCTCTGGGTACTGCAATTGCAGATGATTTTATTTTTGTCATATTTTTAGTCTCCATTTTTCTTCAATTAAATGTTTTTATTATTAGGATAAAACATGAAGTGTGGCAGGAATAGAACTCCACAGCCTGCCCTCTACTCAGCACCTATCCAAAGCCTACTTAACCTACCACACAACTCAGGCTCTGCCTCCTCCAAGAAGCCTTCCCGACCAGCTCCTTGACCCTGTTCTTGCTGAGTTATTGTTCTTGCATTACATATGCTTGTCTTAGGAAAGTGCATTGTGAACCACGCACAGATGACAGTCACACTTTTAACATTCTCTGGATCTTTCACAAGGCCAAGAGTAGCTGAACACCTTGGAGATACTTATTAGTCAGAGGGCAGCGTGTTCCTGGAAGGACAGAGAAGATGTGAAAATGTGAAGAACCTACCAAATGCCCTCCCTTCATCCTTCCTCCCAGTGGTCCTCCCTCACCAGATGTCCTGAACTCTGGTGCTGAGGTTGGTACTGAGGATCCTCCATGCACATCTCCTGGACTACAGTGGGCCTGGGCATGAGATAACTCTTCCCTCCTTCTGAGGTGCTGAGCACATGGTGTCAAGCTCACCTTAACAGCATCGGTGACAAGACTTCCATTCTTGTTGGCTGCCTTTTGGTTTGCTGATGAATGTTCTTTTCTTTCCCAAGAGAAATCTTCTCTTCTGGAAATACACAGCAAAATCAATCAAGTCTCCTTCCTATCTAAGGCTAGCTCCTCCTCTGGTGTGATGGATGCCATCCGCATCTTCCCCTCTGGGAGCAACAGTCTGTGTTTCCTTCTTTATCTTGCCTCTTCCTCACAGCATAGGCTTTCCCATCAGATTTTGAGAACTCTGCTTCTTTACCCTCTGAACAACCAGCCAACCACTCCACACGAAGTCCTCTTCCGCCTTTTCTTTGTTTAGGGCCTATCTTTTTAAAAAGATTTCTCCACTCCCATGGTCTCCATGCCTTTATCTTCAGTTTGTTTAACAACTTACTCCAGTCTGGGTCAGGATGGATTTGGGTTCCATTATCCCACCCTCAGCTTAATGCTCCTGTGACCTCTATGTTCCCAAATCCAGTGGGACTTTCAGTGCCTATCTTTTTTGGCCTTTTAGCAGTACTAGAAGCAGCTCACTTCGTCTTCTTGAACCACTGACTTTCCTTGGCTTTTGTGGCCCATGTGGCTTTCCAACCACCTCCCTGACTGCCCTTCTACCTTCTCTCTACAGACTCACCTATTCACTCAGCCAGTGAGTGTTGAAATGTCTTGAAGACCAGCCCCAGGGCCTCTCTTCTTCTCAGTTTGTGYTTTTCCTATTGAAGGACTCATTCATATCCATGTGTACTCAGGGGGTGGTCCTCCGAGCTCCAGAAAGTTGTTTCTCTCTACCTCATGACAGGTCTCAGATGCCTCCAAGGCCCCTCCTGTTCCTCATGTACTCAGCCCATCATCCTTCAGAGACTCTGTTTTAGTCAGCTTTTTCATGCTGTGGCTAAAGGACCAGGCCAGCACAATTATAGAGGAGGAAGAGTTTCTTTGAGGGCTCACAGTTTTCTCAGGGCTCAAGATGAGGCTGAACACCATAGYGGGACAAGATGGCAGAGGGAAGCAGCTCACATCACTGTGATCAGGAAGCAGAGACTCCACTCGCCAGATACAAATATATACACCAAAGCCACRCCCCAATGGCCACCTCCTCCAGTCACACCCTACCACTTCAGTTATCAGGGATTAGCTCATTGATTATGCTAAGGCTATAACCCAATCATTTCTCCTCYGAATCTTCTTGCATTATCACATGTGAGCTTTCTGGAAGATACCTCACATCTAAACCATAACAGACTCTGAGCTCTCAGTGAATGGTTCTGGGTCCCTATAGCTTTACAAGTCAGAAACCTGAGTCGACCAGTCTGTCTCAACATCCCATCAACATCACCCCCTCACCATCCCTCAAAGCTATCCACTGTCACTCTGTACTACCATCACCCTAGGTCAAACCACATCAGGAGGGTGGGTTTTATTTCTAGATAGGGCAGAGGGGTTGGAGGGAAAGAGAGGGGGCAGGGGGTTAGCAAAGATGGTGGAATGTGATGGACATCATTGTCCAAAGTACACRAATGAAGACACAATTTGGTGTCAACATACTTTATATAGAACCCGAGATATGAAAAATTGGGCTGTATATGTGTAATAAGAATTGTAATGTATTCTGCTGTCATTTATTTTTTTAAAAAATCAATTAAAAAATAAAATAAAAGCTATGGGCAGACAAAAAAAATTCTAAATTACTATAAAGCCTCTGAACTAGTCTAACTTCATCAGACCTGCCATCTACTCTGCCCTTCAACAGATCTTTGCAAAATACAAACAAAAAGTTGAGCTTCAAACCTTGCACTTAGTCCTGCTATTTGGATAAAGATAATATTCCTAAAATCAGCTATGCCCTGGGGGTAGCTTGGCCCTACTACCCCCTTTCCAGCTGCCTCACAGACAAGGGTACCTGTTGCAGACTCCCACTTACCTTTTTGGTCCCTTCTAGGTAACATTCTCCATCCCACCAGAGTTAACCTTTAACTTTGTCTTTCCCATTCTCAGCTCATGTTATCACTTCCCTGGGCCAGCCTTCCCCCAAGCTCCAGACAGATCCTGCTAGTTTATGAATCCTCAAAGCAGCATGGATGCTACTTTCTTGTTGTCTTTGCGATTTAAGGACTGTGTTCACAAGTTATTTTGCTTCTCTGTTTCCTTAAATAATCCTTGAACTCCTTGAGCCTGGGACTGTATCTTTTTTTGCACATCGTTATATCCTCAGGACCCAGTATTAATGTTTGGACCACAGTGGATACTYGATACACATTTACCCAATGATTAAAATATTCTGAGAGAGGAAAACCAAATCAGTTCAATTGGCCACAAAACCTGGATGGAGCAAGCCACCACCCCTCAACATTGAATGCCYAATCTATCAAGTTTGAACCAAGAAAGTTCACTTGAAAGTCATGCTTCAGGCTTCCAGCATAAATTATATGCAGTTGTGCAAACATGTCAAAGTTTAGTAAATTGAATTTGTTTAATGTAAACAACTTTTGACCAAAATAATAACACAGCCTTAGAAAAAGACATTAGGCACCCACTTTTGAAGAGTTTGTATAATTTAACACACAAGAAAACTTTGCTGTAATTATATGCAGATGTATACAAAGGATAAATGTTATTTACTTGCTCCAACCTCCATAAAATAAACCTGCGACCACGCTTCAGCTTGCTGCATTAATCCTAATTTAGAAATCACGCCCACCGAAGCGGTGGGGCCCCGTGGCCTCTCATCTTTTCTCCGTGTCAAAATTAGCCATTTAAATTAGAACCACGTTGGGAGCGTGGGTGACGCCAACTTTGCGGCTCCAGTCCAGGGAGCACTTAAAAGTGGCCACCTGAAGTTGATTAAAACCTTACCTGTCAAACCCAGTATGGCTACGTTTGAAAATCTTTAATGTAATTAAGAGAAGCACATTATGGGAGGTCAAGTGACTTTCTTTTTGAATTCCACTTCTAATCTGTCGTCAAATGGATGGAAATTGCCGGCCGAGGGAGTTAATGAAAGCTGCATGAGGGAGCACGCCGAGGGAGGAGGGGGTTGGCAGACTTGGAGGAGCTGGCGAAGGAGGGCTCTGTCTCCTTGCAGCGGTGAGTAGGGGGCGTGGGGAGCCCCGCAAAGCACCCCGAYTTCTGCCATAAGGCTCTGGGAGCAGGGAGGGGTTCCCTGGTCCCCTCTTCCTGAGCACATCAGTGCATGCAAGATAAGAGTAGAGGGGCGCCTGCGCAGTCCCCTGCTTATCGCTAAGAGAGATCTGTGGCCAGGACKGCGGCCTGGGCGGGCAGAGTGGAGCCGGCGCCGGCCCTCGTCACCCTTCACTCAAAGCTGCCTGATTAGCATCAGGGTTCAGCTCCCTTCTTGTGCTGATCTCCCAAAGAGCCATGGAAGGAGGGGCACTTCCACCCAGAGCCTCCAACTGTCCAGCCTCTGACCTGAGGCCCATGCAGGGGAGGCGTCCCCCAGGTCAGCAGCATTCAGCGCCTTGGCTCTGGGGAAGACCCACTGGGCCCTGGGTATTGCCCTGGCTTTCCTTCTGAGCTTGTGGGTTCTTGGCCACTAAGCCCATTGCTCAGTGCACAGGGTGTAGCCTATCCCCTTGGACTTTGGAGTAGCCTTAATGCCAGAACGCTCCCTTTTGGAGATTAAATTACTTAATGCTTTGCTGTGTGTTCTTGCCTGAGGGTGCTGTTGACAGAAGGCAGAGTTTTTCTCCTCTGGTTGCTGTTTCCATTTTTTTTTTTTTTTTTTTTTTGCATTGCATTTGTCTACATTAGCGGAGGTATGTGTTTGAAAAAGGATTACATCTGTCAGAATGTTGCCACTTAAGATTTGCCCCCATCCTTGGAAACTGACATGAGAATAAGCAACACATTACCATCTTGGCAGGGTGCGGGTATGGAGAAGTTTCCAAACCAGAGGACTTAACCTCCTTTCTCCCTTTGACTTTCTCTTGCTGACTGGAGTATAGGCAGAATGCATGGGTAGTGAAAAAAGAGTTTGAATCTTCTAGTTGGCAGTTTCTCTGATAGTTCTTAGGAAAAGTTGAGTGTCTCCTGTGGTGTGGAGTGCTTGAGTTCTTTGGAACGGAATGGACAGCCTAGGTCAAGTTGAAATATTCACAGTCATCTTCTAGTGTCTCAGAAGATGCCAGATTCRCCCCCAAGGGTCTTCTCTGTTGTTGGAATTATGGGAAGGATGGGAACTGCAGTTGAGGGGAGGGGGTGCCCAGGGACAAGCAGCTCTTAAAAGGGCCTCTGGAGGCTTCTCCTTGTCTGGGCTTGAATTTTCTTAGGCTTGGAGAGATTTTAGTCCTTGTCCACTATGAAAAATCAAAGAGATGGTTGGGAAGAGAGACAATGAGAATCTTTCTGAATGTGGCTTAAAATAAGCAGAGCTTTGGTGAAAGTCATTTTCTAAGCGYCCTCCCTTCCTTCTGTGTTGCTCTTTCTGGACCGGTGGGAAGCCCCCTCCCTCTCTCTCTCTCTCCCCATTTCTCATCCCCAATATTAAGGGTAGTATTTCTAGAAATCAATCCATGTCTGCAGGTAAACGCCAGCCTGAGGCAGTGGCAGGGGAAGCGGCTCTCCCCAGYCCCCTTGAATGCCAGGTTTTCTCCCAGTCACAAGTTCACAGGTAAAAGTGAAAAGTTCCTGTGGGCTTCTCTTCCAAAGAAAGCTGTCTGCTTGCCACAGTAACCTTTTCTCGGGGTCTCTGGCTGTCAAAATGAGGTGCAGAGTTCACAGAGCTCAGCATTGTGCCCTCCTCTCTCTGTGTCCTTTTTTTTTTCCCCCTCCAAAGGGATAGAGGCTGGTTTGCAGCACTATTTAAAGCGAAGATGCCAAATGAAAAGTTCCTCGTTTTAAGTTGGTGCTTATACAAAGCTGCTTTGTGGTTTTTTTCGGCCTGTCAGACTTGTCAGGCCTAGTAAGAAAAAGTATATTGTTTCCAGCACTTGGATTCCTTTCTCCCTGACATCTGCCACTCTGTAAAGATGATAAATTCCTGCCTCATTAGCCAAGGGTGTGGGATTACAGGCTGACAACACATTAATCACCAACCTCTGTGGCAGGCTGACTAGCAATAGGCATTGTTAACAAAACTTTTCTAATATGTCACTCTTCTCTATGACAGCCTGTAATCAATCATTGTGATTGACGGCGCTGATAGATTACACTATTTATACTTTGTGTAATGAAAGATAGTGTTTCCACCTACTGTCATTTCTGGGCTAGTGGTGGAGGATCTGTGAATGGAAACAAACATAACAACAGGGCAAGCCCTCATTTCCCCCCAAATATCCACAGAAAACACCCCACCTTCCCAAGTCCCAGGCCTAACTTGTACCTTTGGAAATGAGAAAGGCACCATGGTAGAACTTTGGCAGTTATTCTGGGCTGAGGGGATAGTGGTGGGGATGTGGGAGGCACCTGGAAGGGCAGACATATTCTGGATTTCACAGAGGAAGCCGTTTGCAGTGGATGTGGTCCCGGTATTGATAGGTCAAGTTTACACAGGTAGAAGATTCCCCAAGCAGCCCCTCTCCTGCCCCTCATCAGCTTACGTGTGTGCAGCTGGGCCTTCAGCGCCTCCTCCCCTGCTAGATGAAAGATGATTTAGATGTTGATAAAATATTTGTTCTTTCCTGGCTCTGAGGGCAAATATTATCCTTGTTTCCCATAATCGTACAGAGCTGCAAAAGTCAACAGCACACGGAGCAAGTACAAAACCAATACTGGGGGAGAGGCCCTTGGCTGAAGGCCTCTGCCAGGACTTGCTCTTCTCCTTTGAAGGGCAGAGAATTGCAAGCAGGGTAAGCATGAATCAGCTGAGCTGAAATACACCCTGGCTCTCAGGTCAGGTCCTGGGTATTTTTGGAGGGTCCTTTCTGCCATTTTTATTTTGGTCTGGAAAGAATTCTGTAAAGGATTCAGGCTATTTTTGACTTGCTTGAGGCTATCATTTCAGCGCAGTGGTGAGAGAGGATGATCTTGGGCTGCCATTCTCAGAGCGGGAGCCCTCTCTGTTACACAGCTGCTCCCTGACAACTGGGCCACAAACACCTATTTTAATGAATCACTTTTAAAAAAATCTTTTTTTTTTTTTTAAATTCTCCTTGCTGTTGTTTAAACACACACAAAAAAAGTGCACTCATTGGTTCTTGGAGCAGTAGAAGAAACAAACACCCCACCTTCCCCAGTCCCAGGCCTGACTTGTATTTTTTCCTGTATTTAAATCTTTGTTCGACTCCCCAGACCAGGCATAGGTCTGGGATTTTCAGTCTTCCCATCAACTCTGGTTTTGATGGTCGTCTCTCTGAATTGTGTGTGGGTTGATGTGGTGGAGAGGGGAGCGGAGAAAAGAAGCAGGATCCTCCTTCTCTTCCTGGGCACCATGGTGTTCGTAGGCACCGACATTTCAGTGCCCCGCCAGTTGGCMAAGCAGAAGGAACTTGAGACCTTCCCTGGTGGCACTGCTATAGAAAAGGGTGAGACAGGAGGAGGCACGGGAAGCCAGCAAAGCTAAACTTTAATCTCTCTGTGAAGTTTGAGTGAGCCCAGGATGATTAATGAGAGAGCAGACCATCTGATTAAGCCCTTCTGTGTCATAGGACATGATTAGTAGGTGACAGAGACGGTAACAGTATCCAGCCAAACCCTTGTTTCTTTCACGGCTCCGGCTGTTATATGATTAATGTCCCCAAGGGCTATCTTGGGGTCAGGCAGGGGAACCTGTCAGAACAGGTGGAAGTGACAAAATGGGCAGAAACTCCTTAGGGGGGATGAGAGTGGTGAGGGAGAGAATGGAGGGGGGCAGGGTGGCCAGATGGAGCCGGCGACCTTTCTCTGATCCAAGCAGTCACAGGGAGCATCGTGGGAATGGAAACGAGGAAGAATCACAAAACTGCAGATGTTTCCCAGGTCCTCAATGCAGCAAGGACTGCCAGCTTGGACTTGCGGAAAGCTCGGTGCAACACGCCGAGTTATCACTCACAGTTTATGTTCTGAGATGGGACGGGACGAGGCCACTGTGGGTCCTGTGGAGTAAGGTGGGACAACCACACCTGTGCCTGTGTAAGCATGGGTGTTCCCATAGATACACAAGAACAGCGCTTGCTCTGCTAGGGGATGAAGTGCACATCAGAGAGGGAGAGCTGACATTTCAATCCACTGTTTTATGGGACCAAAACCTCTCAACTATCTTGAATGCTCTAGGTAGAWATGATAGGATGGGGCTGGGGGAGCAGCTCAGAGGTAGAGCACATGCTYGGTATGCATGAGGTCCTGGGTTCCATTTCTAGCACTGCAGGGGGAAACAAAAAGAAAATAAATAACATGGATTCAAAGAATTTAAAATGTTTCAGATCTAGTATGAAATGTAGAAATCTCTAATTAAGGTAACTCGGAGTACTGGTGAGAAAACTGAGGCCCAGAGAAGGTAAAATGACTTACCTGCTAGAGGTCAAGCAAGACCAGAACCCCAGGCTTCCCATTTTCATATAATAAACTCTGGATGAATCTTTTGATGTAAAGGTTTAGACCTCTTTATTAGATGTGGGGTTCCCTGCAAGACTCTTACCATAGTTCCTCTTTCTTGCTTCCTGGAAGCACTTTGAGAAGAATCTAGTCTCCCTGAGTTCCCTTGAACACGYAGTCTTCACAGATGTCATGTTTGTGAGAAGAACTCTCTTTTTTTAATGTTTTTAGTTGTTGATGGACCTTTATTTTATTCATTTATTTATRTGTGCTAAGAATCGAACCCAGTGCCTCACACATGTGAGGCAAGCACTCTACCACTGAGCCACAACCCCAGCTCCAAAGACCATGATCTTATGGTGCCATTCTGATTGACAAGGTTCACGAGAGTGGCCACTTTGACATTAAAGGGAAAGTGGATTGTGCTGAGACTCATCTGGCAAGTCTGACTTCCTACCTCCTACATTTGTCCTGTGTGTCCATTACCCACATTCAAGAGTCATTCCAAAGTTCTAATGGGCTCTGAATTTTCATCTTCAGCCATTTTTTTCTGGAGACTCTTGAGCTCCCAGGTTTCCTCTGTTAGCTTCATCTATCACATAACTCTTGTTCTTGTGTTTGCATGGTACTAATAGTAACTAAGTTAGCCCTGGGACTGGTAAGTGACCGGCTGCTTCCATCTTCTTGCTCTGTGAAGCAGGAGTTTACAAATTGGAAATTCTGTGCTAGGTTGGAAGAAGACCTTCTTGCAGCATAGTTTTGTCCATGAAAACAACAGACATGCTTCAGTGAATTGTGATGGAACTTAATAGCAAAGCCACATTCGGTGCAATGATCAAAAAAAAAAAGAGGAAAAAGGGAGATTAGAGATACAATCAGATCATGTTAATACTTTGGTTTCTCAAAAATGCTTGACTATGTAGGATTGTGATGTGAGTTTCCCTTGGGCAACTCTTCCTATTGTGGGACAACTGCCACAGGAGCTCTATCTATGTGAAGGTACAAAGGACACTAAAACTCTCCCAGAGTGATTAGAATCCTCAGAGCAACATTATAGAGCACTAACTAATAGGGCCTCCTGAAGATGGCTTCTCCCAGGCTGTGCTTCKGCAGCCTAGCTTTGGGAGAATCGGTTATGGATGCATCAATGTTTATTAGCTTCAGGGTTTCAGTGTTTGATTTCTGCCATGTTTTCACCTGAGCATTATGCAGCCTTACCAGGTCAAACAGAGTGTGACCCAGAGGCTCTAAGAGCAGTTACTTAAAAACTAGTTCTGTGTTCTTTGAGGGAATTGTACAAAATACAACCCAGAAGAGATTGAGCCTCTTCCACAGTCAAAAAGAATCATCTAATCAACCTTTCTATGGTCTGGTAGAGAAATTTGAGCAAACCCATGCAGCACATTCTCAGAACTTCTCTTTGTGGCACAGTGTTGGCAGTAGGGTAATGATGTGTTTCAGTCCAGAGTTAGTGGCCTTGGTGGACCAAGAAGTCTGTGCGCCTGTCTCATGTTGCTGTCTAGGTTAGCATGCCCCAAATTTTCATAACCTACCACCAATCCATCTTTTCCAAGATGTTGATACCTCCCTGTATGTGGACTATTTCATGGTGGAGACTCCATGATGGGCCCCTGGTGCTGTAGAAGTGACTCTAGGCTTTGTGGTTAGTAAACCATAATGGTATTTTGGTGTCTTTAACACTGTTAAAGTTTGGGACTTATTTTATGAGAGGGGCTATGAGAAAATGGTGGTTGATGACGATAAAATGCTGAAGTTTGGGGTGAAACTCATTTATGTAAATTAGAGCAGAGTCACATGGCCTGCCTTCCTCCATAATGTCTTCAGCAGGGAGAGAAGGGTGGGTTCAATCACCTTGGGGAGAATCACATCTCACTTAAGGGGACCCTTGGGAATGGGTCGGACTCCATTCAATAATTCATACTGGGATGAAGAAATATTTGAGAACTACCATATTGGAATACAGCATGCTAATGTTTTTACCCATCAAGAGTATGTGACAGACAGTTTAATCAGGAACAGCAAATGTTCTGGATGGTAGATATTTCTTTTAAAGTCAGAGAAGAGCTGTATTTAAAATTCAGGAAATGCAAGCCTATGTTCATTTGAGGCTAACAGATATATCAGATTCTGCCATCTTCCAAAGAATGAAAACAGAAGAAAAATTTAGAAAGCAGAAGGCATTCACTTACCCTGCAGGAGGTGACCATTCTGCGGCCCCTTTAGCCTGGACTCCTGAGACCGAGATGCCAAACCCTCTTATTTTCTTTAAATTGAAAAACATCATATCTTTCCTATCCTGTTATAATTTTTTTGAAACTTTCTGAAAATGGATTTGTWCTGTGTGTGGTTGTTTAAAGAAACTAGTCCAGTAAAAGCAGCCTGGGTAAGTACACTTTATTTTATTTTATTTTTTCTCCGGAGCAGTGATTTTTCTTTTTGCAGTTTGGAACTGGAGGCGAATGAAGGTCCCCCTGGTGCCCTGGTAGCTGCATCCCCTCTTTTAGCATTTTTTCAAAGGGCACAGGCCAATCTGCCCATAATGAGCTTGGAAAGTGAGGATGAAGTTCCTKATAATATGACACAAATTTCTTTACTTTTGCTCCTTATTTCATCTTAATTAGTCCCTGTAGAAAGGATTGATTTTTGAGAGGCTTGTAGTGAACATCTGTTGGTATTCCTGGGGTCATTCTTAGCCTGTCCTGTGTTTGACATTTCTTGTAAAAGAGGAGGCATTTGTTCATATTGACATTAGCTGCCTCTGTATCTCTCCGTGGTACAGATGGTCTGTGAATAAAGACATCAAGCTAATAGGCAAGATGACAAGCTTCAATAGAGCCGGGGCTCCTCGCGTTTAAATGGCAGGGCAGCATAGATTGCTTCTGCTGCCGAGGCTGGGGTCTGTGGGCAGCAAGGCATATGGAATAAGTTACCAGTGAAGAGGCCTCCTGGAAAATGACTAACAATCTCTCCCTGAAACTCTAAGGGCTTTTATTATTATTATTTTTGGTCCATACAGTATGTCAAGTTCCCAAGTTATGCAGGGTCAGGGAGGAAAGGCACAAACTGGATTTTCTGCCTGTCCTGTGGCCATCCATTTCTCTCCCCTGAATTGGCCATGCAAATCTCAGAGGGAGCTATTGTTCTTGCTGTCTGGGTAAAGGATGGTTGTGTTCCTGCTTCCACAGGAGGGTGGCCTCTCTGCAGGTTCAGAGACTGTTT